TTCAAGCAGTTGTGCAAGGTCTTTCTTTTTCATTTTTAACAGGCGGATGGTATTACAGCCAACTACCATTAGGTGTCCTCTAGCAATAACAATTCCTAAAGACAGTGGATGCTCGGGTTGCGAACATGATCCGTGCGGGAGGCACGTTCGCAACCTGCAGTGTTCGCAACCTGCAGTGCCGCGTCTGCGCACAAGCGGATCGCGATTTGGTGCTTCTGCGCATGCACAAAGAGCAATTTAACACTTCTGCGCATGCATGAGCGCCAAAACCCGGAAGTAACCCGTTCCAGTACTTCCGGGTTCAGCGCAGTGCGCAACCCGAAAACGCACAACCTGAAGAGTCTGTAACCCGAGGTATGACTGTACTGTATAGAACTCCCATGTAACAATGGAAGCCCTGCACGGGTTAAGCTCAAAGGACTTTGATTCAGCTCAGTTTTACAGAGCAAACTCCCCAAACAAAAAAAGGACCTTTGTTTGATTCTAGGAATGCATTCGACGCCTTTAAAAGAACAACAATAGTCAGGCTTTGAGGTGAAGAGGAGGACAAGAAGTGTGGAAGCATTTTTGCTGATGTGGACTATATATTTTTCTACCTTTTCCGTCAAAGCCTACAAGCGTTGTGTCTGATGTTTGTCAATACACTATATTAAAGGAACCCGATGCGTGCCTCCCCGTACACATCTGAAAAAGGTGCCTCTCCCTCCCTGTTTTCGCTAGCAGTTCAGAACCGTCACAATTTTCTCTCCGTGCTCAAACACGCTAGTTCTTGGCTCCTCGCCAGTATAGGCAAACTACACATGCAATTTTCCTTTTACAGAACCTGGAGGCTGAGCAAGAGGGCACAGAGGTACGTGACTAAAACATCCGAACTTCCTCTTTCATAAGCCCATCACATGATGGAAGCAATTACAATTCCAGCCTTGTCTCTGTGAATTGCAGACGCATTGCCTCACCCTAGAAACCCGTCTCCCTCTCCCCTCTGCCTCCCTCTCCCCTCCTCTTTATGTGTAGGCAGCAGTTGCTGCAGCCGGCTTGGAAAGGATCCAATTTCACTCTGGAGAAAGAACGAGGGCAGAGGGTGGAAGACAAAAACAAAGATCTGTTTACTAAAAGTATACAGCTTCTTCGGGTGGGGGGGGGAGGAGGAAGGCAGAGAACGCAGCTGACAAAGAATTCGGCAGAACAGAACATAAAAGGCATGGCGGCTTTGGAACTGAAAACAAGCCGCGTTAACTCTTGCCTGTCCAAACAAAAAAATGAAGCGGAGGTGGGGAGGGAGGCGGTGCCGCAGTTGCCATTTCTTTTCAGAGAAATTCCAGACGTTACTGATGGCCGTCCATTGTGAAAAGAAATACATTTCTCAGGGAGATCCCAGCTTCCCTGGTTAAACAGCGCCCGCACAAATGTAAATATATAGATGTGCCGATTTCATTTCGTGCGCGCGCGCACACACACACACACACACACACACGATCCTGCAAGGCTGTTTTATGAGGTTGGACAACGATCGCATTGTTTGACGGGGCCACGGAGGGGAAGGAGCGGGAGTGGGCGTAGATGACTGGCTCAGAGCTGTGCGGGGAAGCATAACTAGGCGAAGAAGGAAGGGCAATGTTTACGTTTCATCTAGCCTCGCTGGGGAGGCATCAGAGGGCAGGAAACCATTAACCCCTCATTGCACAGGCGGGGCGGGGGATCGAATTTCTCTTGTATCACCGGCTGCAGTCTCCTCCAGTTTAACAGGGAATAGAATTGCTTGTGGGAAGGGGGGGGGGGGCTTTGCACCATCTCTTTTGCACAAGTCGACGTGTGTTCGGTTCGGGTAGCCTTCAGCAACCCCACTGCACTGGTTTGTGTGCTGATGGGACTGGCTGGCAGCCCTTGAAAACGCATCGACAGCATCGACTCTGGAAATCCCCACGGGAGTCCTGCCATATATAAATGATTGTGAAAAACAACACGGAACGTGTTGACTCGGGATTAAATGCCTTCCACGATATTTCGGAACAGGTTTATTAATGTGATCTAACGAGGTCAATAAAACCGAGGGTGGTTTGCTCGGGGTGGGTGGGGGGGAAGCCAAACAAACCCTTCCGCTTCATTAGGAAAAGCTGTTCAAACAGTAACTGCATTTTCAATAGCAACACAGCAGAAGCGTCAGCAAGATTCCTCTCCCCCTCGCTTTGCCAATCCAGTTGTAAAGATAATAATCTACACTCTGCTCTTCCAACTCACAACCAGCTCATTCCAGTTCAAATGAGTTTGGTTTTAAAAAAAATAATCTGCCCGGGGCGTGTTTGCAAAAAAGAAAAGAAAGGAGGTCGGAAAGTTGACAGCTCATGTAACTGAGTTTGCGGATGGCGGAAGAGTTAATAGCGAAATACTGCAAATTCAGCCTGAAGGCCAGCGCGGGCTGAACTGCAGTTGCTAATCGGCTCACGCGCCAGGAGGGTCTGTAACCGTAAAGCAGGCTTAGGGTACGAAGAACTGCTGTTGTTGTTGTTGCTGCTGCTGCTACTGCAGCAGGGAGAAATCGGTCTTATGGCGGCGGCGGCAGCAGCAACAGCAACAAAAATGTGCAAGCTGGCCAGGTTGTAGCACTCGGATCTGCAATGCCAAATCGTTCTCACACAACCCAGCGAAGTCTGAATGAAAGACGAGCGCTGCGCCTCGATTAAAAAGCGGCAGCAGCAGCAAAGGCGTGCAAGACCTAGGGGAGAGAGGCGCAGCACATTTCGCCATTTTGCACCCGTCCTCCACAGTAGCCTACAAGGAGGTTTTCATACTACCTTAAGTAAAATGTTAAGCCTGGGAGGAAGGGAGCGCTCATCGCCCAGAAATAGCAGCAGAGAGGGCGGCGCTTAGCGCTGTGACGGCGCAGCGGCGGTGCTGCCTGTAAGTCTTTCTCCGTCCCTGGAATGTGCATTTCGTTAACAAGGCATCAAGTGCCAATGGCATAGAGTCACGTCTCCCGACTGCGGCTGCGCACGCCGAGTGTAGCAGAAGCCCTTGAACAAAATGCGAACGTCAGAGCTCCCTTCTCCCTCCCTTCCCCTTTGTAACCTACATAACTCAGCAACAGCAATACTGTGAGAATGGTGACCTAGACGCAAGAGTTTTAGGGAAACGCTTCCACTTTGTTTACTCGGCACAATCCCATGCGCGCACACAGTGACACTAACATATACACACACAGTAGGATCACGCCTTTTCTGCAGGGGAAACGGGTTTCGTTTGGGGTTTTTATTTTTGGGTTATTATTCGTATGCAAATACCGGGTGAGCTGTTCGTGGAAGAAGGAAGAAGAATATCTGAAGGTTGCGCGGGGTGGGAAGGAAGCAATTGTTTGGAAAGTGTTACACGGAGAGGTGCGGGTGCACGCGCTCTACCTCTACCATCTGCGCGGCACACACTGCTCCTGTTTCATGGTTAAAAATACCAGGAAAGAAAACGGGATGTCCCCATTTCGGAAAGAAATTGCTTTTTCATTTTTTTAAGAGATGAATTCATAATGAACTTTGCTACCAGCAAGCGTAGCCAAAGCAGTGATGAAGCATAATAGATTTATGAGCTTTGAGAATATTGCCTGCGTTGCAATACTAGAAACCGTCGCCCCCTCGCAGGTTTCTCGTGCCCCACCCGTGGGGTTTCTCTGGCGCAAGGGATTTATTTATTCCTATGCCTTGTTTTGTTACGAAATATAAATATTCCACTTGCTGCTAATTCCAAATAGAACACATGTATCGATCCTCTGCACTTACTTGAGAACAAGACTCGTTGAAATCAATGGGACTTTACTTCCGAGTAAACACATAGGGTTGCGCTGGCAAATTGTACATGGATGACTAGGTCACGTTGCAGTCTTTACCGTAAGGAAGCGACTTTGGAAAACATTCATACGTCTTAATTGAAATAACATTTATATGGCAAGTGAATAAAATTATTTCAATGGTTCTCACTGTCAAGTTAGTATGCTTGGGATCGCAGCCTCAGGTTGTCTGATTCTATGCGTTCTTAGTGGTACTCTGTAGGCATGCTCGAGCCTACCCTTCTTGGAATTTAGTAGGACTTACTCCCAGGTGAGGCTACCATCTTATTCACAATTACCAGAGATGGTGAATGCAGTGGCGTTTACTTCTGAGTAGACATTTCTAGGATTGAAGTGTAAATATGTTTGCGATCTGAGTGGTGTTGGAAAAAAATTCCCCTCGGATTTACTTCCCAGTAAATCTGCACAAGGCTTTTAAAAAATAAATAAATCCTGATGCAACTGAAGGGAGTGGCTGCTCTCCGAAAGATTCACTCATAATCCTCTCACAATATCCCTTCCTGTAACTCGTGTACTATAATTAAGCCTTTTTACAGGGGGCGGGAGGAGGGAAGAGAAGATCAGGGGTTTGAGCTAAAGGGAGAGCTTTCCAATCTAGAGAATCAGACCCCGAGCGATTTGCCGAAGGTCACACGATGAGAGTCAACGTCGAAGCTCGAATTAGACCAAAGGATCAAATGGTAACCTAGATTCCCAAACGCGGCCATTGCAGTATGCAAAAAACCCGTTTGAAACAACAAGTAGTGCCATAATAATGCGACGCAAAATGTGCATTGGGGGAGGGGGGAGTCCAGCCAACATTACTATCATGGAAGCCTTGCCTAGAAGAAGGCAGGAGAAGAGGAAGGCCCCCAGCTCCCCATTTTGCATCCATTCACATGCGAAAGCCTCGCCGCTCCCTCCTCCCCCCCCTCCCTCCCTTCCTCCCGTGTGCTGACTAGAAGAGAGCTGGTTATTCTTGCAGCTCTTGTTGTCTTGGCAGAAGTTCAATGAGCAGCAGGAGGAGGAAGGGGGAGAGCCGAGCACGCAGGCGCTCCTGGGCACTGTCGAAGAATCGAGTCACTGGAGCAGAGCGCACCAGCGGCGGCGGCGGCGGCGGCGGCGGCGGCTTCTGGAGTCCCCGCCCCAATGCGAGTGTCTGGGCGGCCGGCAGCCGGCGGGCAGCGCTGTAGTAGCGAGAGCGCGGCGCGGGCAGAGCGAGCTGCGCGCTGTACTGGGGGGGTCGGAGAGCGCCTGGTTTGGGCGATGCGTCTCGCCGCGTCCCGGTGAGCGACTGCAGCCTGCGGGACTAGGAGAGCGGGGCCCGGGAAGAAGCTTTCGCCCTCGCCCCGTCTTGGAGCGGCACTTGTCGGCGGCAGGAGGCGGCCGTCGGTGCAAGAGGCTGCAGCGGCTGCAGAGCGCAGAGCCTCCCCGGTGGCTCGCAGAGCAGCAGTGGGAAGAGGAGGCAGGGGAGGAGACGCGGGGCGCTCGCTGCCCCTGGACTCGGCCATGTCGTCGGCGGCGGTGGCGGTGGCGGCTGCCTCGCGCAGGCAGTCGTGCTACTTGTGCGACCTGCCCCGCATGCCCTGGGCCATGATCTGGGATTTCACCGAGCCCGTCTGCAGGGGCTGCGTCAACTACGAAGGCGCCGACCGGGTGGAGTTCGTCATCGACACGGCTCGGCAGCTCAAGCGGGCGCACAGCTTCCAGGAAGGCCGGGCTGCGCCGCCGCCGCCGCACGCCAAGCAGCAGCCGCCGCCGCTCAGCGCCAAGGAGATGCACTCGGCCGCCGTGGCTGCAGCCGAGGCGGCCGCCCGCGCTCCGCCGCAGCCCCACGAGCGCTACTCTCTGGCGCCCGCCGCGCCTTCCGAGCGGCCGCCGCGCCTGGGACCCGAGTACGGAGCGGGCAGCCGGCAGGTCAACGGCATCCTGGTGCCCAACGGCTTCTCCAAGCCCGAGGAGCCGCCGGAGCTCAACCGCCAGAGCCCCAACCCGCGGCGGACGCACGCCGTGGCGCCCACCTTGGTGCCCCTCATGAACGGAGCTTCACTGCCCGCCGCCATCAACATTAACAGCCGCGCTGCGGCGGCCGCGGCGGCCTCCCTGGCCGCCATCTCCGGAGCGCCCACCCCGCTGCAGGTGTCGGTCTCGCAAGCGCAGCAGAGCCAGCAGCAGCCCGGGGAAGTGGGGGGGCACAAGCGGCCCGGCTCGGTGTCCTCGTCGTCGTCCAGTAGCGGCGGCGGCGGCAGCGGAGCCAGCGACTTGGAGGGCAAGGACAAGGGCCAGCAGCAGCAGCAGCAGGCGCGGGGCTCGGCGGACAACTTGGAGCAGCTCGGCGCGGAGAGCAAAAGCCGCGCGGCGGCGGCGGCGGCAGCAGCTAGCGCCGAGCAGGAGTGGATGGGCAAGCCCAAGACCGTGCGAGACACCCTGCTGGCCTTGCAGCACGGCGGCCACGCGGTGCCCTACGAGAGCAAGTTCAAGAAGGAGCCCGGCATGGCGGGCGGGAGGCTGCTGGGCTACGACAGCAACGGCGCGGTGGCTAAGTCAGGTGAGCTGCGCTGAGGGGGAACTGGGGAGCGCGGGCTGGGGGGCGCGGGCGCGCTCTTGGCCTGAGCAGGGGGAGGGGCTGGCGGGGGGTTTCTGAGGGAGAAGGAAGGGAAACACTCCCCCCGCCGCGCGCTCCGTTCCCTCAAGGAAAAGACGAGCCAGGGTCGCCATTTCGGCCCAACTTCCTGGTGCTGAAACCCCAGCGGCGTGCTTGGTGTAACATGGATGAGTCAGGGCTCTTTGCTGACAGACACTGACAGAGGGTTTCCCCTCCCTTGCCCTGGCCGCATTCTTTCGCGAAGGGAGCTGAGGCGCGCAGGGCTGCTCCGAGCAACAGCAGACATTTTCCTGAGCCAGGCGCCATATGTTCCGCATATGCTCCGAGGCGCTCGCTTTGGGCGTGCAAATAAGGAGGATGCAGGAGTTATCTGGGCTCGGCAGATCCCGCGCCCCCCTCACGGCTGCAGCTCGGCTGGGGCATAGATTTGCCTTGAGCCTGAATGGGCTCGGAGCGAGTGGAAGATTACCAAGCTGCGAGCGGCTCTTTTGGCCGGCAGCCAGCGTGGGAGGGTGGTACAGTGTGGGCACATTTGAATGCATGCAGCATGTACTGTAGTGTAAGCGCTGGCACGGCGTGTTCACATGCCGAGCCCCAGCCCCAGATAAGCTGAATTTACTGGGGGTTTAAGCTGGTTTGATCCGTTAGAATTCAGCGAGCAACTTGGCCCGAATCCCAAGTGCTTGGCTTGACCGGGCTGTGTGGCATCTTGACCCTGCCGCTTTGCACACGTTTTCTGTGGCTGTGCTGCTGCGACACTATATCTCCTCTCCTGCTTTGCTCCGTAGGGGCCCGGGCTGCGAGGAAGAGAAAGCCTTCTCCAGAGCCTGAAGGTGAAGCTGGACCTCCCAAAATCAATGGCGAGGCGCAGTCATGGCTACCAACCTCCTCAGAAGGGATGAAGATCTCCATGGCAGCTGCGTCCTTCATGTCCCCACCGCCGCCAACCGCTTCGCCTCATTCCAACCGGACCACGCCACCCGAGGCAGTCCAGAACGGCCAGTCCCCGATGGCAGCGCTCATTTTAGTTGCAGACAATGCTGGGGGGAACCATGCCTCCAAAGATGCCAACCAGGTCCACTCCACCACCAGGAGGAATAGCAGTAGCCCGCCCTCGCCATCCCCTATGAACCAAAGAAGGCCGACCCGGGAGGTGCAGAGCCAAGGGGCAAATGCCGTAGGGATGGAGCCTGTGCACCCCGCCAGCCTCCCAGACTCTTCGCTGGCAGCTAGCGTCCCCCTGTGCTGCACCCTGTGTCACGAGCGCCTGGAAGACACCCACTTTGTGCAGTGCCCCTCCGTCCCATCCCACAAATTTTGCTTCCCTTGCTCCAGACAGAGCATCAAACAGCAAGGAGCTAGTGGGGAGGTCTATTGTCCCAGTGGGGAGAAGTGCCCTCTGGTGGGCTCCAATGTCCCTTGGGCCTTCATGCAGGGCGAGATTGCAACCATTCTTGCGGGAGATGTGAAAGTGAAAAAGGAGAGGGACTCTTGACTTTCCCAGTTTCTCAATGCAACGTCAACCTTAACATAAAACTGCTTGAATTGTATATATCTATAAATACCTATAAATATCTATATATATATTATATATATATATATATATATCTCCAAGACAAGGGAAATGTAGACTTCATAAAACATGGCTGTATAATTTTGATTTTTTTTGAATACATTGTGTTTCTATATTTTTTGGAAGACGAAAGGTATGTACTTAATGTACTTTTTTCCCTTCTTTTTTTTTGTTATAGCAATTATTTGTTGTGCTTCCTTGGTGAGTTACTGTTTTCAGTGTAGGCTGTGACTTGCGCTGCTTTTTTAGAGCACTTGGCAAATCAGAAATGCTTCTAGCTGTGTTTGTATGCACTTGTTTCTTCTTCTTCTTCTTCCTCCTCTCCTTTTTTTTTTTTTTGTTCTTTCTTTTAAATGCCAAATACATCTGACATTGTAAAGAACGCCTTACTGTTGGTGGTTCCTTATTTTTTGCCCTCACTAATACATGCTGGAGGCATGCAGGTTTTAGAGATAACATGGCATTAAAGGTGTTCATAGGATTAAAGTGGGAATGCCACTCAGTCCAGTCCAAAGACAGGTGAGAAAGCACAAGGGGTTTCATTTGGAAACATCATTCCCTTGCTGCTGCTGCTGCTACTGCTGCAAAAATGGCCAGATTCTTCAAGTAGTTTTGTTTCCATAAGGAAGTTGCCTTCAGAGCATTATGCTAAGTGAGGCGCTGTTGCATTAGGAATTGGGGAGTTGGTTTTTTTCTTAAAGGCAGAGTTGACCACAGTTCAAGAGGTTGGTTGTAAGATTGCAAAACTGCATTTATTCAATTTCGAAATGTTCCTGCAGAATTTTTGTGATAAGTTAGTTTATTGTCTAACTGTGCATTGGTGCAGACAGAATAGCACTGCCATTTTTTTAAAAAAACAAATCCATACCTTTTCAGCACCATTTAACATCACCACTTCCTCCATGTTCATGTGGAAAACTCTGAAGCAGATTTCTTTATTTTTTATTTACTTAATATAGTGCAGGTGGGCTTTGATCTTGCTTATCAAGTATGAGAATGTTGTGATTGTTACTACTGCTGACATATTGCCAGGTTGTGGCAGATAACAGTATGGTAATAACAGCAGCATATGAGGATTTTACCTGGCTTGCCTATTACGGCAGCATAGAGATTAGTGAAAAATTCTACCTGAAATTTCATAATACTTGTGTTGGAGAGAACTAATTCTCATCTAAATGGAACAGCTTGGGATTTAAATCAACTCCAGTTTCTTGCCTTTTAGACTACTTTCAAGAATTCTTTTGTAAAATTATTATTTTGATCACACCTTTTTTTTTTTTTTGCATCAGACAGCAACATTTTTAATCAATAAATCATCAGTTACTAGAAATAGTTAAGCCTTACTGTAGTGATTCTGTGCTGTTTACAGTTGTGTTAGCAACACTGCTGTGCAAGCCCTTGTGCTAAGTGTTTATAATATGTCACATAGACTTGTTTGAAGCAGAAAGATGGTTATACGGTCCCCATCTCTGTGGCAAATAACACTATACATTTTGATGTTGAGAGAATCTGTTCAACTAGGTTTAACAGTTTTTGATGCTGTTGGGTCAGACTGTTCTTATGTGTTAATGTTCAGACTGCTATTGAATGCAGAATAGATTTTGGTAGGCTTCTTTTTTTTAATGGTCATGACATTTGGAAATCCAAACTGCACATGCACAGTAACCTTTCTTTTTTGAAGTGTTTTAAGTACACCCACTAGCATTGTGTTCCATATTACAGGTCAGTGTAAATTAAATAACAAGATTTGCATGATAAACCAATTCAATGCTCTTTAAAATGATAGAAATACATATAGTGCAGACTGGTGTCTTATGTAAACACATGTTTAGACAGTTCGAGAGGAAAAAAAACGCACATATATACAACTGTAAAGGATTCTTTGGAACCACTATAGTCTGTGGAAATATGTATTTAGGCACTTTATTAAAAATTGGATTTTGAATTGATAGATGGTAACAAGTTCTTAAGAATCTCTTTGACATGATACCTCATGTATTATACCAATTTGTATGGAGAAACTGCATTCTAGGTAAGAGAATATCCATACCAAAATTTTCCTGGAAAGTTTGTTGTGATGTCTTGGCATGTAGTTCAGATTTGAGCTTCTTAACTTGAAGTGGGGATGATAGTAACTTTTTTCTTGCTAAGACTATTCAGGCATGTCAAGGTATTGAAAGGCATTTGATCTAGATCTCCAGCAAAAGCTCTTTTACTACACTTATATCCTGAATAAGTGTCTTCATATATTGTAGCCCAGTAATATCACTGTATGTTCTTTAAAGTAGTTTAAATAGTGGGAAAGTTTAGGCCTCGTCATACCACATGATGACAACTGGAACACATTTCAAAGCTCTCCACCTGTTCAGTCAACTCCTTCCAAACCTGTTAAGGTGACCGGTTCTAACATGCATTATAGATTCATAATACAGAAACGTCATAAACTAGTACATGATTTTTGGATCAATTGGGCCTATTGTAATTTTAGTTTGTTTCCTGACAAGTTTATGACATCACCACAGTGGATCACATTATATTTACTATATGTTTTCTTGGCTACAACGTTTTTTTAAGTGCTTTAGCTGCAACAGTACTACCATTAATCTCTGATAATAATGCAAACCTTGATTCCACTGCAGCTAATGTGAACCGAGTCATTAATTTCAGTGGAGTTAGGCTTTGCACCCTTACTTTTTGAAGTTTTTAATGGTGATAATTTGTATAGCAATAAAGCAAAATGTTGTTTTAATGGAGAGTGTGATTGTCAAAATCTCACCTTCATTTACACTTTTAAGTTACTTTTATTGAAATATCACCTGCACTATGCTTTCATTGTTTATAGTTACTAAACTAACACATTACTATTTTTTCCTATTATTTTTTATCTTTTGCATTGAATAAAATGAAACTAGGAGCTTTAAACACTTTCTGCGAGTTTTTGTTACCCTTTTCATTTTTTAAAAAATACTGCAGCTACTGAGGTGCATAGTAGCCAAATCAACTGGATTTTTAAGAGATTGCTCTCTTTTGCTAGACATAAAAACAGAACCTAGGCTAAGAGCAGAACAGCAGCGTAACTGTAAGTGTACTATTTTTTTTTTCAGGAGGGCTGACCATCCTCCTGACATAAAAGTAGAAAGAAGCCCAGCAATTGTATGGTGGTCTATAAAGCCTTGAGCTATGTATCTTGTGAAATCACATTTAGGAAGAGGTTTATTTGGGAGGGTTCTCCCAATGGCTTTATGGTAACAGGATCCTGGGAAATTTTCTCTGTACTAGGGCCAAAGCCTTCTCACCTTACTACCAAGAAGAACAGACACAGTGTTCTGCTGACATGAGAGAGTCATTGAGGGCAGGTGATTTCACTGTCTACCTTACAGCTTTGCAAAAGGTTCTTTTAGCTAGAGGTGTTAAACCCTAATATAAATAACAAGGCTGGTGGCAAACAGCTATCCTAAGTATATGCAAGTGGAAGAATCTTTCCTTGAATTCAGTCCAAATAAATAAGTTTAGCACTGAAATGCTGGCTAAATATATATAGCATTGGGGTACTTGACTTTCTCCTTGCAATAATGTGGTATGGAGAAACATGAACTACTATGCACAGATGCAGCCTAGATGCTCCCAATCAAAACAAGTACCAAGCAGAAAAACTATTTGAAACGTTACTGGTTATGCACAATATTGGGAAAGGCTAAGGTATGATTATGATATATTATTCTTAGTTTTATAAGAACTGGATATTTTAATATATAATTTAATTATTTAAATAGGAATTCTGCATGAGCACCAGATACAACACTCTGCAGAGGTATAAGGGGTTGCAAGTTGCTTAACACTAAAAGTTGCACTGTTAAAGTGCGGAAATGAGTTCAGCTAAAGATAGTTTACACAAATAGCCCAGTCAAAATGTGTTTTTAAGTCAATGACTTCAGTGGGACTAAATTTGTTTTAAAAATTCAAGCGCTCCTGCACTTCAGACTGAATTGAAAAGTTCCAGTTTACAGTTACATGATATTCTTTGGCTGATGGTGTATATGCAATGCTATAAATAATTAAATGGTAAAAAGTGATACAGGTATAAGCCGATGATTTTTTTTTTTTAACTTTAACCAATTGCATTTATGTGGAAAGGTTGGCCCATTAATTTCAATGGGGTTGCTTCTGTGGTGCGACTATTTAGGACTGCATGCATGGAAAGATTTGAAAAGTAGTTTATTTAAAGCTTGCCCCTGCCAAAGACTGCAACTCTAGTTTTTGTTAGTTTTTTTAAAAGACATTAGCAGATGAGAGTTCTAATAAATAGCTAGGAAGTGTATGAAAGCAGTGGGGTGAATTGAATGGCCCATTATTACCCACTCTTAGTAGACCTACCTGTATCTGAGATTACAAAATAAAGGCGGCTGTAAAAGAAACTCTTCTTACCGTTACATATAAAAGTGCCCTTGATTTTTATCAAATCTACTGTTACAGGTTACTGGCCAGGCAAGTCAGATGTTTTTCAAACTCTTCTTGCTAATGGACAAGGTTATTTAAAGATAGAGAAAAAATCCTGCAGGCAGCTTATAAAATAGTTTTACTTGGTAAAGGGTAATAGGTTTCTCTTCCTAATTCTTGAGTGTAGATGTGTAATCATTCAGAAAACGTTCGCTGCATCTAGGCCACACGAAATCCTGAGTCACCCTCATTTGCTTGCCTTTGTTCAAGAACTGCAGATTGAGAGGACACGCCTTTCCTCAGTCATAGACCAAGGTCAGGCTATTCTAACAGATGAATGGAATACATATTTATCCATTTCATCATTCCAGACTGGAGCTGGGACACTTGGACTATTAACTCATTGACTGTCTTTGGTTAAGCTGTTGTCATCAGAAATCCTGATAAATATCATGATAGTTTTATCTTGAACAAATTCCTAACCTATAAGCGACACTTTAATATCATGCAACAAGTTGAACGAGTAATGTGTTTTAATATATATATATATTTCTCCTCGTTTTAAATTACCACAATGCTTATACAGTTTTACTGCACTTGGGGGGGGGACCATAAATAATCAGTGTCACATTTATAAATTTATAAATACTTTTCTAAGGCTTTCACACAATTTAAAATCCAATCCTTCACCCACTTAAAGTTCTATCTTATGCACATTTCTGTAGAAGCAAGTCTTGCTGGATTCAGTGCAGCTATTACTACAGAAACTGGAAATGGTTTGGGACCTGCAGCATGGCACCCCAATCCTGAAAACAATTTGTCAGAAAAAAGTCCTCTGTCCAATTGAATTTACAAGCTCATATGGCAGATTTGATAGTGGTGCAGATTACTTCAGAAAAGCATATTCCTACCTCCCCCACCCATGTGGTGATATGCTAATTGGAGTGTAAAGCAAAGTGTATGCTAAGCATATTCTTGGCTTAACAATTTCAGTTACGCACCTTGTGACTGCAAATCCAATTTATCTTAGAATGCCTGGGCTGCAAATTATACATAGAAATACGTCCTTTTGAAAACTGGAATTTACTTGTGTACATTTAGGGTAAGATTGCCAACACAAAGAGAATCTGGGCTTCCCCAACCACCCAGTCCTAGACACATTTATGCGGCATGAAGTTCAAATGCTTTCAGTTAAAACTACTTCAAGGACTGCAATCTGCTTGTGCCATGGAAAGTTAAGAGTGTGGCATAAAACTGAGGATTTGTCTTGTCTCTTCCTTAAGCACAGTGGTGGGGGAAGCCATCCTCCTTTAAGGAGATGCATCTGAAATAAAGACAAGAAACAAGAGGGAAGTTTTCCTAATCCCACAGTGCTGCTGACAATCAGCAATTATGAATTTTGCAGGTTGGGAGGTAGTGGGAATAACAGGGTGTAGGGACTCTGCCTAGTAATTCAACAACAACCAGCTATGTTTTTTGTTTAAAAAATAAGCAACTCAGATGAATCCGCCTTGGAGTGAGTCAGATCATTAGTACATCTAACTCAGCATTATTTACTCTCTGCTGGCTGCAGCTCTCCAGGGTCTCAGGCAGCAGATCTTCCCCATTGTCTGCTACTTGACCATTTAACTGGAGCCACAAGACATTGAATCTGGAACTTTTATAGCAGGGATGGGGAATCCTTTTAATCTCAAGGGCAGCATCCCTGTGGCAAGCAGAGCCATAGGCAGAAGTTGCTGGGGCAACCAATTTTACCTTTGTACAGCAGGCTAGATTCTACACACTTTCCACACTGCCCTCTATATCCTTCATCAGAGAAGCAAAGAAGAATTATCAGATATCAAAGATGGGCAAAAGCATACAAGGAGGATGCAGAGTATCCTCACTTATGGCTATGTACTGAAAATTTTAAAAAGGATCTACGATTACTATTAGTCCCATTACATGGATTAAGATCTGAGGCTGAAAAATTACACATATACAACAGTGTAATTACACATATACAACAGACTGATCTAAAACAAAAATACTTGGATTTCTGTTCTAAGTGAAGACAATGGGCTTGACGCCACAATCTTAACCATATTACAAGCCACACTGAAAATGAATGGGATTTACTTACATCTGACATGATTAGGACTGGGGTATGATCTAGTGTAAATACAAGTACTTCAGATTAACTGGGTTGTAGACTGAGGTGCAAGGGCTACTCTGCCTATTACTTGTGTGGGGAAGACTTGTGTTTGGAAAAATGGGTGTGCCATACAGGGGCACAATTGGGGAACCATGATTGGCTGCCATTTCTCACACTTTTACGCATCTTAAAAACCTATCCCTTTTAATGTGTGAAGCCCTTAGTTAATGAAAAATCGATGTTAAAATCTTGGCACTTCCAAAAGCCAGAGCTCCAGTCACTGGAAAACATGCTAACATTGCATTAGCGTTCCTAGAACCAATTCCCACCATCAGAGGTGCTTTACCGAACTGCAGTCTTGTGATTTTTAAACCCTTACCTTTGAAAATAAAGAGATTGTGTAGGTTAGTAAATGATTAATTTCCTTAGCAAGCACCTGAGCTGTAATCTAGCCATGTGTTCTCTGTGATTAAGGTTTGTTCAAGGTGCTCACTGTGCCAGACAAAGTCCTAAGTTCAAACAGTAATGTTTACACAACCAAGTTCACCTTCTCCTTACAGGTCTGCCATCCCAAGCGTTATTCCACACAGCTGCTAGTTTCCCTCTCTGCCCCGCAACCACAGCACTCCACAATGGGGTAGTTAAATCTGCCTCTACGAAGAACAACCTGTCCAATCGCGATGTGAAAAAAACATACAGATTCTATTGGGACAAACCAGGCCAAATAGTCTAGATGACTGTATCTGATCAAAATTCTGAAAACAGGCTGCGAACTCAGATTGTGTAGGACTCATCTAACATGTTTTATACTTTATGTGCCACAGTGACGTCTGCTGAGTCATCATAGAATTGTTGAGTTGGGAGTAACCAAGGGTCATCTAGTCCAACCCCCTGCAATGCCCAATGTGGAGCAGAAGCCCACAACCCTGAGAGTCTCATGCTCTACCGACAGAGCTATCCAGCTGTGCCTCTGATCACTTGCAACTGTTTCAGCATGCACAGAGATCAAAACTTGTGGTTTTAATTCACCATTTTGATACTTTCTGTCAAGCGCTTGACAAATTTGCTAGATAAGAATAATAACTCAGCTAAGGTGGCTACTCTCTTTCAGAAAGGAGACCTCGCAAGTGTTGCATTGCAGGTAAAAAGGCAGGGAATATCCATGTCAGGAAAAGTCGAATTTTATTAGATTTCTGCCTGCTAAACAGTAACCAGAAAAAAAATAGTAGCTCAAGTCACTGGAAAGCTACCAGTCAGCTTACGTGAGCAGATCGATATGCTTCTGCGTGAGGTGCCTGCAGCAATGCCCAAGTGAGACTGCAATTCTGAACACATTGACGAGGAAGCTTGACTTCCAACAGCTTGACCTCACCCCCAAAGGCGCACTCATCCATTGTTTCCCCGAGACAGAGAGATGCCAACTACTAGGAAGCCAGCCCAGTGAATGCAGTAGGACTTACTTCTGAGTAACATGCTTGGGATTTGCTGCAATTATGTGCCATATGCCATATAGATCCACATATAAGGCCTTCTGATTTTGTAAGCCTTGTTGTAGTTACAGTGGTACCTCGGGTTATAGACGCTTCGGGTTACAGACTCCGCTAACCCAGAAATAGTACCTCGGGTTAAGAACTTTGCTTCAGGATGAGAACAGAAATTGTGTGGTGGTGGTGCAGTGACAGCAGGAGGCCCCATTAGCTAAAGTGGTTCTTCAGGTTAAGAACAGTTTCAGGTTAAGAACAGACCTCCGGAATGAATTAAGTTTTTAACCCGAAGTACCACTGTACTTGCAAGTGTATGCCTAAACCTATTCATTTTTTGAGTTGTGCAACTTTCTTCTTTACATCACATACAGACCTTTTTGTTTCAAAATAAAATGTTCCCCCCCCCCCATTTCATTTTTAAAAGGTAGTTCTGGGAATACATTTTGCGGGGGGGGGGAGGGGGAGAGAGAGCCAAAGCACAAAACCATCAGAACAGGCCCAGGTACACACCCACGCCAAGCAACATTTTTTTCTTAAGTCACAACAACAGAGGGTTGGATCAGATGACCCCCGTGATCCCTTCCCATTCTCAGTTGGGTTAGACGAGCGTAGTGCTGATAATGCCAAGGTTGCAGGTTCGATCCTGGTATGGGACAGCTGCATATTCCTGTCTTAATAGGCGCCCCCACCCTCAGAAATCCCGTCGCGGGAACGCGAGTGCGCATGGCAGAGCCAGCTGAGAAGAAAGACCCCGGCATTTCCACGGGGCGTCTGGGGGGGGGGGTCACTCATGCAGAGGCTTGGATCTCTATTAAGACTTTCACTCGGATCAGTCCATAGCCACCCCAAATAAGCTGGACCACCCTGGAGCAAAGCAGCGTGGCCGCGATCCTGACGAGGGAGCCGCCACCCCGGAAGCCTCCCCTGGCAGCTCCCGCCAGCCCCTCCCGGGCCGGGAAACTGCACCAGCTGCGCCCGCTATAATTAGAGCGAGGGAGTGAGCGGCGCAGGCGTGGCGGCGGCCCCTCCTCCTCCGAGGCCCCGGCGGGAGAGCAGCTCCCTCGCTCGGCCCCTCGGGCCTGCCGGAGAAGGACCAAGAAAGGAATCGTGCCGACCGGCTCCGCTCTTGATCTGGACGGGTCACCTGGTGGTGAACCAAATATAGCCAAGCGGCCCAAGCAGCTCCTGGCAAGCAGCCGCTTTGCAAAAGCGAGAGTCGCGCGGCCTTGCGCAACCCGGGGAAAGGGCAAAGGCGTGACGTGGCGCGCCGCCACAGGCTAGGCCTGCGAAGGGCCAAGGGGTGGATTTGGGGCTTTGGGGTGTCTTCCCCTCCCCCCGCGCGCTTGCTTTTGCCTGCCTGACTCATCGCAGTAATAGAGCCGCAGGCGTCAGCAAGGGTTACCCGGGAAGGACTGGTTTGGAGATTGCTACACCAGCAAGCTTGGCCTGGGAAGAAGCATGCAAGCGACTGCAGTCTTCGGAGAGTCCGGGAAACTGCCTGGTTCCCAAATTCCCAGGATCACTTAGTAATGTTTGTGCCCCTTGTAGCAATCGTAAAGTGCTGTGCTAGACGCTGCCTGCTTTTCGATTCTATTTTTACAGGCAAAGCACTTGAATGAAGCTCCCGGACCAGAGTTTGGGAACACCTGCCCTATATTTATTTATAGTTATTCATTTCGGAGCAGGACTGTAAACTGATATTCTCACATGCTTTTGCGCGTCCTGGTCTCTAGAGCAGAGAATAATCCTGGGTGTCATAGACTGGTGTTGCCAACCTAACTGTAGAATTTTCTTTTAAAGGTCCAGTGGCAGTTCCTACTGTAGCTATTAACTTTTTGAAAGCGGGTGTTAAAATATCCTCACTGCTTAAAAGAAGTAGATTTAAAACTTACCCAATGCTAATATTTCTTGTTGTCACTGTTTGTTACCCACTTTTCACCACTGGTTCTGCAAAGCAATTAACAAATGTTCAGCTTAATAAACTTCCATCTTACCCATCAAATAGAATTTTACCAAGCAGGGCAGTTTACATACAACAAAAACATATGAAAGGTTCAACTGCAGCTTTTTTTAAAAAATGGAATTCATATGAGGGTCTGTTTTAGCAGGGAGTTCTAGACGTTTTGCAAGCATATGATAAGAAACTATTTAATAAAATGTAGCTCTTTAATTTCATCAAATGAAGCCTATGGGGCAATTTCCCGTTTCCAACAATTACCTTATTGATCAAAGGAAGATATTCTGTGCCAGGGCACCCAGTCTTCCTACTGCCATCACCCTTTTCTTATCTGAATTCAACTTCAACGTGTTTTAACTCAGCTACAGCCTCCAGACACTTGAATCAGCACTGAGGCAGCAGCTCCCAGCTGCTTAGTTACCAAAACAGAGAGCTGTGTGTCATAGGCATATGGATGGCATGCAACTGCAAAGCTCTGGAGGATCTCATCCAGCAGCTTTGTAGAGATATTAGTGCTGTTGCCAATACTGACCCCTAAATAACAGACCTTGAGGGGCTGATCTTCCCTCTCTCATCATCTCATCAGGCATCTTCATTATACAGCCTCCAGCATATGCTGAAAACACACCTCTTTACCCTGGCTTGCGGTGTCTATTTTTAGGACCCACCTTGGTTTTTTTGGGGGGGGGGATTATATGTTGTTTTGAACAGTTTTCAATTGTTGTGTTTTAATATTGTAACCAGTCCTAGGATCTTAGGCAGGTAATTATAAGAATCCCTCTTTGAGTGTGTCTCTCTAAATACAGTGGTACCTCAGGTTACATACGCTTCAGGTTACAGACTCCACTAGCCCAGAAATAGTGCTTCAGGTTAAGAACTTTGCTTCAGGATGAGAACAGAAATTGTGCTCCGGCAGCGCAGCAGCAGCAGGAGGCCCCATTAGCTAAAGTGGTGCTTCAGGTTAAGTACGGACCTCCGGAACGAATTAAGTACTTAACCTGAGGTACCACTGTAAAGGTATTCTAATAATCCTCCAGTAAATTCTACCCCATGGGTAGGCAAACTAAGGCCTGGGGGCTGGATCCGGCCCAGTCACCTTCTGAATCCGGCCTGTGGACGGTCCGTGAATCAGCATGTTTCTACCTGAGTAGAATGTGTGCTTTTATTTAAAATGCATCTCTGAGTTATATGTGGGGAATAGGAATTTGTTCATATTTTTTCTTCAAAATATAGTCCAGCCCCTCCCCAAGGTCTGAGGGACAGTGGACTGGCCCCCTGCTGAAAAAGTTTGCTGACCCCTGTTCTAGCCATTGTAAACAAGAAGTCCACCGTGTTGGATGCAACTTAGGAGGTCTAGAAGTGCCATCAGAGAATTATTCCTTTTATGGATCTCAAGAAATACACCTAGTAGGCCTCCTTTGAATGTCTGCTGTCTCCTCCCCCATTCCACTTTAAGTTTAACTTCTGACTCCATCCGTGGCATCAGCATTGGCCAACTTTTTATAACCTGTCAGTTTAGATGGTTTTGGTTACTGTCTAGACTGATGAAGAGTTCCAGAGAACTCAAAAGCTCACACACTTTCGTAATATTTTGGCTGACCTAATAAAGGTATTGCCCCAATGTGGATATTGGAATGTTTCTTATGGGATAACATGGTTTGCTTTCTTTCTTTCTTTCTTTCTTTCTTTCTTTCTTTCTTTCTTTCTTTCTTTCTTATACAGATCCAATGCCTACTAAAGCTGTCTCATTACCATAGCCAGGAAAGAAGCCTAACTGAAAGGGGTTCTGGGCCCTAGACTTTCACTAGTCCACAAGTACTTAGCTCACAAGTAACTTAGCTCACAAGTACTGGTAATTACCTTCAAGGTAAGCAGGCTGAAGTCATCCAAGCACTGGAGACTGTGGATGCTTCTGATATTGCTCTGGTGGCACCTGAGATGGATCAGAGCTGAGCAGTTTCATCAACCATGAAAATTATCACCATGAGTTCTGTATACCAATGGACTTTGGGCCAGGAGAGAGAGTAATAAAGTGCAGTTCCTTCAATTTCTGTCGTTTCTTCTTTTTCTATTAGAATGTTTTGCAAATTGACAATATTGCTTTACATAATGTTACTTTAAAATGCCATGGCCATATTACAGAAAGGCAGGATATAAATATTTTAATAAATAAACAATCTTATTTTGTTGGATTATAATTCCCATCATCCCTGCCATCTGCCATTTTGACTTGGGCTGATGGGAGTTGTGGACCAACAACACATGGAGATCCACAGGTTCCCCATCCCTGTTGGGCAATCTCCCTCAGAGCATTCCAGAACCCAACTGATCCTTAAGTCTCTGTAAACAAGTCATCCTGATGCCCTCCCCTCCCAAATCTGGGGATTTCCTACAGTTTCTGTCTAATCTGACAGTGCTGCTAGTGATCATAACCAAAGCCTAATCTTGAAACCTTGTCTCCAAATAATCATGGAGTATCATTCGCTGATACAAAACAGTCATTACAAAGTGTCTCTTGCTAATGGTTGTAAGCACCATCGGGTCACATACACTTCAGGTTACATACGCTTCGGGTTACAGACTCCGCTAACCCAGAAATAGTGCTTCACGTTAAGAACTTTGCTTCAGGATGAGAACAGAAATTGTGCTTCAGTGGCGCGGCCGCAGCAGGAGGCCCCATTAGCTAAAGTGGTGCTTCAGGTTAAGAACAGTTTCAGGTTAAGTACGGACCTCCGGAACGAATTAAGTACTTAACCCGAGGTACCGCTGTACAACATTCCATCTGCATCAGACCCAGAGTTGCCATGGAATGTTTGTAACCAATGGAGCCAAAAAGGTATGCGAAAGCTGTGTAAGCACAAGATACTATTTTGTACTTAATGACTATGCATGCTTTCAGTAAAATAATACTGTGCACATGTGTGCCATTTTTTAATCACAGAATCTTCTTGTGATTCACAAGCATTTAATTAATTCTCATACCACCCACATAAAGCAGGCATATGTCATTAGGGCCTTTTTCCAGAAATACAGAAAGGTTTTGTAAATTGACTGAGCTCAAAGAGCAAGTCATTGGCAGGGCCAAATAGAAAATGGAACACTTTTTCTCTTAGTGTCTTACTACTGCACTGCTAGCCATACAAGGAAGGGGGCTGGGATACATCAGCTAGCAGAAAGTGTTGCTGCATTGAGAGGAATATACCACTCGGAAAAGATGAGTGCACAGTTTCTGGGGGTGGAAAAGGGAGGAGAAGTTTATAATATCAATAATAAAAATCAAATTAAATGTAATCATCAAAATCCCACCAGTCTAATGACCTTGAAGTGATGTGACATGCACAAACCAATAGTTTGTGCATGGGAATATATTTGCAGTTTTTCTTCAACAGGACTTGCTCCCAGATAGGTGTGAATAGAATTGCTGCCTTGCATTTCCTTTTTATTCCTTTTTGGTATTGTTTGGACAACCTGCAAAATCTGTTTGCAGCACAGAACAGGTGACTGACAGTGAGTCCAAAGAACTGTGTGAACACATCTCACTTGCACCCATCTCTTGCCATAAAGTAACAACTGTGTCATTTGCTAATTATTTCTCCTGTTGGCAGTTGAAGGGGTTATTTTAAATATCACCATCACTATAAACTTATTTGGATTACAGTGGATTTACCATATTGAACACAAAGTTGTCTGGCTGCCACTCACTGTTGTCAAGCCAATATAAATAATAACTAATCCAGCAGACGGCTCTCGCTTTGATCTTGTCTTTCTTCTTTATGAAAAAGAAAAAGGACATGTCATAATAGCAACAAGATCTTCCAGGCAGAGTATTTCTGGGAATTATTGCACTTGAATTGGTGGTTAGTACTTTGGCCTCCCGCCACTTCTCTGAAAGTACGAAGAGTAATGGATTTGGGGTTTTAAAAACATTTTGTGTGTGATCTCAGTGCACATGAAAGGTGCCAGAGAGGCAGTTTGGAAGACAGAAGTTGTCTGTTTGGCTACAAGCTAAGACAGGATTAACCGGCATTGTTTTCTTCACTTCCACAGATACACCTTGACCTTAAATGTGATGAAACCCGCAGGCCTATTCAGTTTGTCTGAGGACAGCATGAAAAATGGAGGGCTTTCCCTCCCTTTCTCCTGAGGCAGTGGTTTTTGAGCACAAGGCTAGTCTGAGACATTTGGCACATGATGTGGAACCCCCACATATGGCAAAAATATACATTTTTAAAATGTAATAATAAATGTAAATATATGTTTACATTATTATATTACATTTACATTGAGAGTCCCATGGACTGCAAGAAGATCAAACCTATGCATTCTTAAAGAAATCAAACCTGAGTGCTCACTGGAAGGACAGATCCTGAAGCTGAGGTTCCAATACTTTGGCCACCTCATGAGAAGAGAAGACTCCCTGGAAAAGACCCTGATGTTGGGAAAGATGGAGGGCACAAGGAGAAGGGGACGACAGAGGACGAGATGGTTGGACAGTGTTCTCGAAGCTACCAGCATGAGTTTGACCAAACTGCAGGAGGCAGTGGAAGACAGAAGTGCCTGGCGTCTCTGGTCCATGGGGTCATGAAGAGTCAGACACAACTAAATGACTAAACAACAACAACAACAACAACATATTTACTACCCTTCAATAGCACCCGAAATTTGTTGCCATAGGAGAAAGCTTGTATGGTTTAAGCGTTTTACTGAAACCTTCTGCAGATGACTCCCCAAGTTGGCATGCAATTGCTGTTGTGTGAGGGAGAGAGCAGGGATGGAGTCCCACCTGCTCCATCATATTCTTGTCACTGGCCTGCAGTGGGGGCTGCCAGTGTGATTTGGAAACCTGGAAGGTCACAAGTGGGGAACAACGACTGCCCAAGGAGGATAGGCTCCCCATGGCAGCTGTTCAGCCTCCAACATAGGCAGAAGGGAAGGTGAAAAAGGTTCTCCACCCTGACTTCTGTCAATGCCAAGAGTAGCCACAGCAGCGAAAACTTCTGAATGTCAGGCCAGCTAAAGACACAGAAGCAAGCAGGGCCAGTGAAAAGATGGCAACCTTTACGATGAGGGAGAAAATGCTTCTTACAGGCAGAGAAATTAATAATAATAATAATAATAATAATACTCCATCCACTCTGGGCGATTCCCAATAGAATATTAAAAACACAATAAAACACCAAACATTAAAAACTTCCCTAAACAGGGCTGCCTTCAGAAGGCTAATAAGTATCTGCAGGCTGAAAATCCTCACATTTGTATTTGCAGGATTGGGACCTAGAGGAGCGGCACCAATCGTATTTTCTATTCCTCAGTCTGTCCTTTCCCAATCATCTTTTTTTTTTAATGGAAAATGTTATTATATGTAATAATTTTTCGAGATAGGAATTATAGTTTATTACAAAGAGCATTATTATCATTTATTCATCATTTAAATTAGAGCAGATTTATATTTCAGCATTTTCATTAATATGTAATGTAAATTATTTAGAGTAAATTGTGTCACTTGTAGTGCTTGGGAAATGACAATTAAAGTTTCTTGTTGTTTTGATAGAGAAGGATGAGGTGGCAGGAGTTGCCATCGGCTAACTTCATATCCTAATGAGTATCTGAGTAATAGACAAAATACTGAAAGAAGGAGAAGAAATATTATGGATGTGTTTGACTGCAGAAGGATAATAAATGGCAGAGGGAATGATTTGAATTTACCAGTTGAGAACTGATTAATGATTCCTATTAACTTGCTAAGGGGGACTTCACATGATAGTGCAAAAATTCTTATCTGTATCCCAGAAGACTGCTAATATCCCAGAAGACTACATTCCTGCAGACTCTGGTTAGAACCAAAGCAGTTAAAATTCTAAAAGACAATGTAACAGTGGTCTACTCACATCTTGTATTGCAATACCTCACATCCAGGTACAACTATAATTCAAATTTCCCTCAATTTCTGCTTTTATTCTATCCCCCAAATCAGTGGTGCAGCTAGGGTACACTTAGACCCTGGATGCAATGATCTTAGTCCACGCCCCTTCTGCAGCCGTGTGAAAAGATTCTGTGCATGTGCAGTTTCATATTTTAAAGTCACTAACATCTTAGCACCATAATGACTGCTGGGGTTCTGATTGCCCACTGAACCTCAACTTGTTCACCTTTGCATTAGAAATCACCCCAGAATTGGCTGTACTAAACATCTTCCAAGACAACAATGCCCATTTACATCACAAATAACTCATAACCCACCTACTTTCAGCAGCCAGAAACACCATAACCAGACACTGGAGAGACCTGTCAGGAGTAAGCATGGACCAATGGTACCAAATAGTATGGGAAACAGCCTCACTAGAAAAATTAACCAATAAACTGAAACTGACATGGGGATAAACAGAAGAAGACGCCTTTACCCCGGTATGGCTCCCCTTTATCACGTACACAGCCCAACAAGACAATGACAATAATCCACCAACAGCATACAAATCAATATGGCTAACCTGATCCAAAACACCCACCCACCCCACTCACTCATGAAAACAAAGATCACCACAGCCAATCACAAACAAACAAACAAGGCTAACCCCAACCTCTCTCACCACCAAAGAAACACAAGTGAACAGCAGAGAAGATGCACAGGCAACGCTGACACCAAACCCTACATACATTAAATAAAATAGAAACATTGCCACCCGACCCCACTCCCACCCATCTTCCACCCCTCTCCCCCTTTTCTTCCTATTGTCTCAACAAATGAAACTGATTTGTAAAAATGTTACATGGGAAAAAATACAAGAGACATTACACATACTTCTGTAAATCAAGAAAATCTTTAATAAAAATAAAAATAAAAAAACTTGTTCACCTTTGCTGTAGAAGATAGACCTTTTGTCCTAGCTGCTCTTGAGAAAGGATGAAGAATTTAAAATGAAACTTTCCTATCCTCTTCCACAGCACACGTCAACACAGCATATGTTGCATATGTTAAGACAGCATATGTTGTATATGTCACCATCATATATAACAACAGGGCTGCATGTTAATTCATATACCAAAGTG